TGGGCAACGCGCTTTATTGCACGCGGGTTGGGATGGCGGGGCTCAGCCCGGAAGCACCGGGAAAGCGTCCCTCTGTTCCCACGGGGCGCCCCATAACAACCGCCCGGCCCCGCCCTGCCCCACCTCTCCAGCATCCACCTTAGAGCAGCTGGCCCTGCGGCCGGACCCGGGTTCAAATCTCAGTCCCGACTCTTCCTAGCGGTGAGACCTTGGGCGAGTCCTCTTACCTCTGCTGCCTAACCTTGTTTCTGTAAAACGGGGGTAATTTGACTATCTAGCTACGTGGTTGCCGCCAGTTCAGTAGTTCCCAATATTGGCAGTACATCAAGTGACAGACTCCCTGGCCTGCATCCAGAGCTGCTCAGCGTCACTGAGGTGGGACCTCACAAAGAAGACGTTCAAATTCCTGAGAAGCAGTGTCTGGCACACTACACGCAACACACAGCTTCTCAAACTAGGCTTACGGTCACTCTCAGGAAGAAATAACCACCTATATTTCCTTCCCCTAGGAAAAGAGCTGTCCAGGTCATACCTTGAAGCCCCCAGAAAGTAACCATGGAGGTAAAAACTGCAAACTCCTCCATGGCCAGGCCAGGGACTGGCACACAGCTAAGGTTTTCCAGGGCCACCAAGTGTCATAGCAAGCATCCCAGCTGGGGGGTTAAGAGGCTTGGGGCTCAGGTTCAGCTTTAACCCAAATTCGGTGTGTGACCTTAGACAGGTCTGGTGGGCTCTGAGGGCTGGGATAGGGTTCGGAAACGGTGGGCTCTTCAGGGTGGGGGCTGCTCAGAGAAGATGGGGTCCCTGAGTCCTCAGGGTGGGGGTCTTCATCCGATTCGGCATCCTCTCCCAGTCCAAGCCCTGCCAGCTTTTTGCTGGCCACCCACAGCCGGTGAGCTGCCCGGTCGTCTCTGGCAGCTGGAGGCACCTCCTCCACATGGCAGTTGGCAAAGTATCTTCCACTGAGGGGCTCAATGCCCTCCTGTAGAGCGCAGTACAGGGGCGTCTGGGCACCGCCTCCTGGTGTCCGGAGCACCAGCCAAGCCAGTGGGTGCAAAAGTGGGCGCAGCCATCCAGGAACATGACGCAGGAACAGATCTGAGTTCACAGGCCCTGGGAACAGGAGAAAGGAAGGAGTGGGGCGTACTGTGGGTGAGGGCCCAGGGTCAGAGCTGTGAGAAAAGGGCTAGAAGGGAGTGGGGAACAGACTCCAGTTCCAGGGAAACCAGGGTAGTATTTACTGGGCATTCAGGGCCCTTACTAGGTGACCTCACTCATTTCCAGCCTAACTTCTTGTACATCCCCAAATCCCAGATTTAGCTCATGCTGTGCCCCCTGTGAGGTACAGTTCTGTCTCCCATCTTCCTCTGTTTAACCAGCAAACATTTATTAACACCTATAGTAGACCAGCCACACTTTGGGGCACTAGAGATGTGGAGTGTGATAAAGGCTTGATAAAGATTAGTTGTGATTATTACTTTCACTGTTATAATTACTAGTTGTGATTATTACTGTCAGGATTGTAATTACTAATTAGCCACGGGCTATGACTATCTAGAATGCAGTATGGTAATACGCGTAGGGCAGATTTTGTTATCCAGTCACCTGCTCCCTAAAGGCAGGGGTAGGTCGTATTCACCAGTTACCTCATTCAGAGTAAAAGCCAAAATGCTTACAGGGGACCTGCAGACCCTAGATGGCCCAGCCCATCTCTGTACCACATTGCTTGCCACTTTCCCCTTCTCACTCTGTTCTAGCCACTCCAGGCTCCCTGGTCTTTCTCAAGCACATCAGGCACTTCTGTCTCAGGGCCATTGTACTTGCTGTTTGCTCTGTTCTTTACACTCTTCTCCCCAGAAAGCCACATGGCTCATTCTCTCATCTCCTTCGGGCCTCTAGTCAAATGTTACCTTTTCAGGTATGTCTTTCTTGGCTGCCATAGATAAAATAGCACCCCGCCATTTCATATTCCCCTTAACCTGTTTTATCTTTCTCCATCACAATCACCATCTGCCATTGTATATATTTATTAGTGGTTTCTCCTTCCCCTAAACTCTACAATGATAGAGTTTACTTTGTTCAGTTCACTGCTATATTCCCAGCACTGAGATTAATGCCTGGCACATAGTAGGTACTCAGTAACTGCTTCTTGAAAGAATAATCATTAGCTATTATCATCATATTATAGTCAGTTCAGTCATATAGATGGCTCCTTGGGGTGAGAACCTGGGCCTTATTCATGGCCATACCCTATCCCAGTGATGGCGAACCTATGACACGCGTGTCAGAGGTGACACACGAACTCATTTTTTTGGTTGATTTTTCTTTGTTAAATGGCATTTAAATATATAAAATAAATATCAAAAATATAAGTCTTTGTTTTACTATGGTTGCAAATATCAAAAAATTTCTATATGTGACACGGCACCAGAGTTAAGTTAGGGTTTTTCAAAATGCTGACACGCCGAGCTCAAAAGGTTCGCCACCACTGCCCTATCCAGTAGTCAGCATCCAACCTTGTGGTAGGAGAGCAAGAACCCAGACAAAAAAAGCCTGGTTTCAAGATCAGCAAAGAACAGGTCTCTCCTTGGAACATGTTTCCTTCCTGCTCTGAGATCCTGTAGCTCAATGAGAGGCTGGGGGAGCAAGGATGGGGCAGGGATGGGGAGAGGGAATCAAAGTAAAACAGCCGAAGAGGCAGGCCTCACCTGGGTGAGCTGCATAGCAGGTGACGCCAGTGCCCTCAAGCTGTGTGGCGAGCTCCCTGGCAAACAATACATTGGCCAGCTTACTGTCGGCATATGCTCGCAGCTCCTGCTGCCAGCCCACCACCGGGCGGTCCAGGCGTGTGAAGTCAAGGCGCCCTCGCCGGTGGGCAGCTGAGGCTACCACCACCACGCGGCTAGGGGCGCATGTCTTCAGCCGGGGCAGCAGCAGGTGTGTCAGCAGGAAGGGGCCGATGTGGTTTACTCGCAGCAGCAGGTTAAAGGGCTCACGGGTTTGTCCGCAGGAACTGATCCCTGGGGCAGGGACTAGGCGTGAGCAATGGCTCTGGAGTGATCCCCATAGGCCTCGGTGGCCCCATCTGTGAGACGGTGGCAGGGGACATCCTTCCCATATATCCACTGACCCCCAGAAATGCCTGGCTGGGAAGGGATGGCTGCTTTGCTGCCTCTCACCAGCATTGTGGATGAGGATGTCCAGCCGTGGCTCAGACCTCAGGAAGGCAGTAGCAAAGGCCCGCACTGAGGCCAGACTGGCCAAGTCCAAGGCCATGAAGATGACTTCATTGTTCCCACTCTCCTGTGGAGCGGCAAGGGCTGGGCTTGCTACCAGACACCTCTCTCCTCTCCCCTATCCCTAGACACCAAATTCTGAGAGTCTACCTCCTACTTTTACTAAGATCTACCCCTATGCATTAGAGTGATATGAATAAGTGTAGACTCTGGATGTAATTTTTTTTTTTTTTAATCCTCACCCAAGAGGGGAGGATATTTTTTTCCATTGATTTTTAGAGAGAGTGGAAGGGAGGGGTGAAGGAGAGAGAGAGAAACCTTGATGCAAGAGAGACACATCGATTCACTGCCTCCTGCTCACCCCCACCAGGATTGAACCTGCAACTGAGGCACATACCCTTGACCGGGAATCAAAACCACGGGCTGACGCTCTAACCACTGAGCAACTGGCCAGGGCAGGATGTAAATCTTGACTATGCTTTTTACTAAAGGGTGACCTTGGGCAAGATAATCTCTCTGTGTCTCAGTTCTCTCACTGTGAAATGGGAAGGATAATAGTGCCTATATCATAGAGTTGTGAGGATTAAATGAGTTAATATATGTAAAATACTTGGAATAGTCCCTGGCACACAGCACTATGTAGGTACTTGCTATTACTGTATTATTATTATTGTCCCCTCTACCTTACCCTAAAATCTACACTAGACTTCCTATTGGTCTCCTTTCAAACCTCTTGCCCCCTCCAGTCTAGGCATCACACTGCCACCAAAGGTTGGCTCCAAAAGGCTAATCTGACAGTCCAGTGCCTGCTGAGGGCCCTTTGTTGGATCTCTACTGCCCATCCTATAAAATCTGAGCCCCCCAATAAGGTCTATAAGGGCCTCCTACACCTGGCCCTGACCCCTTCATTTTGCTTCTTTCTTCCGTACTTCCCCATGCTCCAGCCTCATTCCCCGCGCTCCCCCAGTTTCTTAAATTAGACCCGTTTTCCTGCCTCAGGGCCTTTGCATATGCTGTTCCCTTCCCTACTGTTTTTCATTAATGTAACTTCTACTAGTCCTTAAACGTCTTCAAGCAGCAATTACTTCTGCAAGTCCACTCCCCAGCTTGGGTCTGTGCCCCTTCCTTCCCTGTGGGACTAGGCACCTGTGCACTCCCTCTTCTTCGGCACTTGAAGAACTGAGTCGACCTCTCCTCTCTGGACTGGATCCCCCGGGGCCGCTCTGCTCAGCCCACTGTCTCCCGAAGTCTCGGTCCTCTGTGCGCCGTCCCACCCACCCCGGCCTTCCCTCACCTGGCGGAGGTCAA